CCGATGCTGCCCCTGTGACCGACTACGTCGACGACGACCCCTCCTTGCCAGAGCAACCAGGCAAGCCCCCCCTTTGATCATCCCGATATCGCCCATTCCATTCTCTCATGCTTGCATTAGATTTTGCTACTGTTATTGTTTGCTCCTATTTTGATGCATAGCCTGCTTTTGTATCTGCTGTTGTACCTTACCTGCTTATCCTAAATGCTTAGTATAGGTTGGTTAGTGATCCATCAGTGACCCCCACCTTGTCCTTGTCGCCCCTGCTTCATCATTGAAGACCTGATCAACAGGATCGAAGACCAGGCCCCGGCGCCGCACATCACTTTCCCCTTAGTTGCTCGACACTACTAGGTTACTATCGAGTGCCGAGGGTGAGACCTCTATAGCACTTCTGATGTTAACCCGGTAGTGTAGCTATTCGGTCGTGGTCATCGAGGGTGATTCCGCCTTAACCACTTCCGATACGACTCTGTCGTGCAACCCCTCAAGTGTGAACCTCGGGGGTGATTCCTCTTACGTTCACCTTGATGATTACATCGAGTGGAATTCACCGGGGGTGATTCCTCGGGTTTTCCCCTTGATGTTTAGACACACAGTTACTATGATTACCATGACTTTACACTGAACCATGTTACGAAAGACGGGTCGACCCTGAGGGGTACCAGCGCGAGCATAATTGCGAGTGATGTGGAGGCGGGTTGACCTGGAGGGTACCCAAGAGTTGAATACGAGGCGTGGCCGGGCATTCTTAGCCCTTGCCGCAAGTCCTCGAGACGGGGCAACGGGGTCACATCTTTCGTGAGTCTCTGCTTGTTACCGCGCGTTCCTAATCCACTACGATTTGGATATTTGATCCGAGGGGCCTCTGGCCTGATAGCACTAACCATCACGTGGGCATAGTATGGGCGTTGTGCGTCGTATACATCAGCCGAAGCTTAATAGACGTCAGCGACTGAGCGGCGCGCGCCGGGTTGGACTGGTAAGCTCCTTCCTTTTTTAAGGAGGTAGCTAGGTCTGCTCACCGGCCGCGTACGCAACGTGCAGGAGTTCCTGGGGAGATGGCCCATGACCCCTGGGGGCATAGGTTTAGTCCGGCGTGCTGGCCTCTCTATTAATCCTAGGTCGGGTTGCGGCGTATTGTTTGGCCGAGGCCGGGCATGACCCAGGAAAGTGTGTCCGGCCGGAGTTAATCAAGCGTGGTGGGTAAGTTGGTGCACCCCTGCAGGGAAGAACTAATCTATGCATAGCATGTCCTACGGTAACGGACACTTGGAGTTGTATCCCGATCGATACAACTAGAACTGGATACTTGTGATGAGAATTGGATGGTGATGAGAATTGGATTGTGATGAGGTGATAACCGGATAGTATGGCTCTGGGATTGCTTTCTCACAGGGAGTCGAGAAAGGATCTCTGGCCGAGGTTGATAACACTACTACTACTTTACCTTATGCTACTCTACTCCCTCCTGTTTGCTGCAAGATGGTGGTTTCCAGAAGATGCTAGTCTTCAATAGGACTAGGCCTTCTCTCTATTCTGGCATTTCTGCAGCCCAGTCCACATATACAGCCTTCCTTTGATAATGTTGCATATGTAGTGTAGATCCTTGCTTGCGAGTACTTTGGATGAGTACTCACGGTTGCTTTGCTCCCCCTTTTCCCCCTTTCTTCTTCTTTCCGTTTGATGCAACCAGATGTCGGAGCCCAGGATCCAGATGCCACCTTTGACGACGACTGCTACTACCATGAGGGTGCCTACTACTACGTGAAGACCGCCGACGACCAGGAGTAGTTAGGAGGCTCCCAAGCAGGAGGCCTTGCCTTTTCGATCGTTGCTGCTTTTGTGCTAGCCTTCTTAAGGCAAACTTGTCTAACTCGTGTCTGTACTCAGATATTGTTGCTTTCGCTGACTCTTGTGTATTCGAGCTTATGTATTCGAGCCCTCAAGGCCCCTGGCTTGTAATATAAAGCTTGTATTATTTTAATTTGTGTCTAGAGTTGTGTTGTGATATCTTCCCGTGAGTCCTTGATCTTGATTGTACACATTTGCGTGCATGATTAGTGTACGATTGAATCAAGGGCGTCACATGGAATCACGGCATCTTGCATTGTGCGAGGGCGTGAGGAGATTACGGTGGCCCTAGTGGCTTCTTGGGGAGCATTGTGCCTTCACACCACTCCAAATGGAGATTAGCATCCGCAAGGGTGTGAATTTCGGGACACATCGTCGTCTCCGCGTGCCTCGGTTATCTCTTACCCGAGCCCTTTACTTATGCACTTTACTTTGTGATAGCCATATTGTTCTTTGTCATATATCTTGCTATCACATAGTTGCTTATCTTCCTTAGCATAAGTTGTTGGTGCACATAGGCGAGCCTAGTTGTTTTAGGTTTTGTGCTTAACAAATTAACCCTTAGGTTTATTCCGCATTTGTTCAAGCCTAAACCGTAATTATTTTAAAGCGCCTATTCACCCCCCCCCCCTCTAGGCGACATCCTCGATCTTTCAATATCTTCCTCTTGACGCAAGCCCATGGATACGTACCTAACCCCACATACAACTCTCACATAGACCATGGGTTAGTACATAAAGTGCAATGGACAATGCTTACCATACCATGGGATCACTTGATCCCTCTCGGTACATCTTCTACACTTTGTGAGTTGATCAACTTGATTCACTCTTGACTTAGTCTTGATCAACCTTGAATCTTTGCAACTCTCTTCATTTGGATGATGTCTTGAAGATAAATATGAATGATCACACAACCTTCTTCTTCAAGACATGCTTGCAATAAGCTCAACACTCGCATGACCAATCTTTGGATAATTCCTTAATAGCACCTTGGTCAACTCAAAAACTCCTTGAAACTAACACATGGACTTCAAGAAAAGCCTATGGACAAATCCTTCAAATATAACTCAAGACAACCATTAGTCCATAGAGATTGTCGTCAATTACCAAAACCAAACATGGGGCACCGCATGTTCTTTCAAACGTGATAACTATGGTCTGAGTAACATGATATCTATACCATTATAAGGCTGGTAACTACAGTATGAGAAGCTTAAAAGCATGGGAAAGTATGGTAATTTAACATAGAAATTTCCGGTGAAATGTTTCAAAAACTTTTTTCCCTTGGATGAAAGACACCATGGTGTTTAAACGTAAAATATTAGTTATCAAGTCTGCGATGATACATCATCATGTTATTTACATAGAAATTATCGGGTGTATGTTTTTCAACAAAAAAGTTTCAGGTCAAAAGTCACAGTGGCGTTTGTATGGGAGTTATCAATTTTGTATGTTTCTATTACCATGTTATTTATATAGAAATTAGCGGGGCATCACCCCCCCTCCCCTCGCCACAGTCGCCATATTACCAGGATCGGGTACATAAGTTATCAAGTCTGCGATGTGTGAGTTATCATGTTACTTGCATAAGAGTTATCGTGGTATGGTTCAACAACTCCTCCCACCCCTACCCCCACCGACAAAGTTACCAGGACTGGGTACATAATTTATCATGTCTACGATGTGTGATTTATCATGTTATTTGCATGGAAGTTACCGTGGTATGTTTCAACGACTCCCCCCACCCCTACCCCCACCGACAAAGTTACCAGGACTGGGTACATAATTTATCATGTTTACGATGTATGAGTTATCATGTTATTTGCATAAAAGTTATCAGGACAGTGATGCGTAAACTATCATCATATTTACACAGAAGTTATCGAGAGTATATTTCATCAAAACCCCTCCCTCCGGCGGAGGGAAAAGCTATCATGTTTGCGGTGCGTAAATTATTGGGGGTATATTTCAGCACCCCTTCTCGCCAAAGTTACCAGGGCCGGGGTGCATAAGTTATCGGGTCTCTGATGTCTGAGTTACCATGTTGTTCACATCAGAGTAACTGGGGATATTTCATCAACACCACTTCCCTCAAAGTTACCAGGATCGAGGTACATAAGTTTATCAGGTATGTGATGTGTGAGTTATCATGATATTCACACAAAAATGGCCGGGATATTTCATCAACGCCTCCCTCCCGATCGCCAAAGTAATCAGTACCGAGTACATAAGTTATCAGGTATGTGATGTGTGAGTTACCATGCTATACACACACAAAAATTACCAACGGTATATTTCATCAATCTCCCCCACCCAAATTACCATGGTATCATCAACTCAAGACGAGTTGGTAAAATAATCTACTTAAGTGCGGAAAAGATCGGATATTGCATTCACTTTTGTGCAAACATAGAAAAGGAGACAGGTTAAAAAGCCTATTTGCTTTCATTTTTACAAAAGAGGAATGTAGGTGAGGTGGTTGGCTAGTGGGTTACCTTGTAAAAGTTACAAGGATCGAATCCTGTTGGCACACTATTTTTTGACGAGAAAAATTCATGTCCCTCATCACAATTCTTTGATTTTGGAGTTTGACTCTAGCTCCCAGCAAAAAAATTCTGGAATTAGCACAACTTTTATTTTGATGCTATGAGGTATAAAAGGTGTAGCTTGTTGCTCGAAGGGAGCGTGCGGAGTCTGTGCGTCCTGGGTTTGATTCCCGTCGGGTGCTTTATTTTTTTCCTCGAAAAATAAAGTAGCTAGTGATCTATCGGGAGGTCGAGCGAGTCGTGCGTGCCTATCGCTAATGACCAGTCGGCAGGTATTTAGCTTTGTCGTTATTTGTTTCTCTCCGTCGGATTCGATTTCCTAGTTCTCCTGGTCCTCCCATAATCTCCATTCCCCACATGGCTCAAGAGGAAAATAAATGGCTCAAGAAAATGCTCCGCTAAACAGTGCAGTGCCAGACCCAAAAAATCTGTGAGGTCAATTGACACAAACTCTTCAAATTTCATCAAAAATTGCTCAAATATATATAAAACTAAAGGCAGATTGTTAAAAGTTGTGGAGTCAACTGATGCGTATAGGAGTCAACGAGGAGTTCGTTTGCTTTACATAGAGAAGAGACTCGACGGGGGGCTCAGTTAACTAGGTGAGTGCGTCGGCGCTTTTTGCTTGCGGCTGCACGAACCGTTTCCAGTACCAGTGCTTGACCCAGACGGTGCCCATGGACTCGAGCGGCACGCCCTTGGTCTCCGGCAGGAACAGCGCGATGAAGACGGTCATGACGGCGACCCAGCCGGCGTAGTAGGCGAACGTGGCGTACTTGAAGCTGCAGAGCATCGGGAGGAACGACTGCGTCTGCACGAACGTCAGGCCGAGGCCGATAGACACGTTCATGGCCTGCCCCGCCGACCGGATGTCCACCGGGAATATCTCGCCCGGCACCACCCACCCCAGCGGCCCCCACGACCACCCGAACCCGGCGGCGTGCATGCACGTGAACACCAGGATCGCGACCCCGTACGGCCTCGCCATCGGCGCGTCGCCGCTCTTCCCCACCTGCGCGCCCATGATCCATGCCATCGCAACCTTCAATGCTCAAACGTGTGACGGTGTGAGAAAACCCGACCATTCAAGTATACATGCTGATGGAACTGGACGTGGATGTGTACCTGGGCAATGATCATCTGGATGCCGCCGACCATGAACATCACCTTGCGGCCGTACCGGTCGATGACGAGGGTGGAGAGCATGAGGGCCCCCAGGTTCACGCCGCCGAGAATGACGGCGCCCATCAGCGCGGCGTTGCTGCCGAACCCGGCGGTGCGGAACACCAGCGGCGCGAAGAAGGAGAGCACGATGACGCCGGTGAGCTGGAAGAACATGGGCACGGCCACGGCCAGCACCAGGTGAGGGCGGTACTCGCGCCTCGTCGCCATCCGGTGGAACGCGCCTTCCTCGCTCTCGCGCGCGACCTCCACGGCGCGCAGGATGTCCTGGAACTCCGCGTCCACGTCCGCGCCGGCCCCGCGCACCCGGACGAGCGCGGCGCGGGCCTCGTCGGCCTTGCCGCGCATGACGAGGCTGCTGGGGGTGTCCGTGAGGAAGAGGGCGCCCAGGAAGATGATCACAGCCGGCGCGCCGGCGAGACCCAGGGAGAGGCGCCAGCCCCAGGAGATGCGCGCGGTGGCGTAGTTTGTGAGGTTGGCGATGAGGACGCCGAGGGCGAGGAAGATCTGGAAGCCGGCGGTAAGGGAGCCGCGCCACTGCGTCGGGGCCATCTCGGACAGGAATACAGGAGTCGCCTGTCATTAGATGAAATCATCGTCATTCGGCAATCGTATTTACACCAACGTTAATGCATACGAGCAAACATGGATTCGTTTTGCGATGCCATCCTTGATGATGTAGTAGACATCATTTACTTGTTCCAATTTGATTGCATATATGTGAGAACAACTCTTTTTGAAGATGTTCCAATTTGAGCACAACTCTAACAGAGTCCGTCATACGCACATGGAGCACTTTATATGCATTTGAAAGTTGCACACACAAGCGTAAACTTTATGATGATGGGAATATTTTTTGAGTACGTGCACAAAATTTGAAATTGGGAACATCTTTTTATTTGCTGCGTCCAAATTTTGTTTGGAAATTTTAGAAATTACCAAAAAAAAATAGAATTTCACAAAATGTTCGCTTCTTTTTCACATAATGTTAAAAAAATCAAAAAATATTCATTAATTCAAAAACATGTTCTGAAATTCAAAAAAATGTTCAGGAATTCATTATTTCAGAAAATATTCAGGAGTTTGAAAAATGCTCACGGTTTCAAAATTGTGTTCACTATTTCAAACAATGTTCTCTTTAAAAAAAAATCATTCAGAAATTATTCCAAATTTTCAAAAAATGTTCCCATTTTCAAATTGTGTTCATGTAGTAAAAAAATGTTGACGTTTTCTAAAAAAAATAGAGGTTTCGAATTTGTTCTTGTTTTCGAAATTTTGTTCTTAAAATTCAAAAAATGTTCATGCTTTTCCAGAAATTTTGAAATTTATTCGAGTTGTTAAAAAAATATGATTTTTTAGCATTAATCCCCTTTTAGAAATTTTGTTCAGAATTTTCAAGGCATGTCTGGAAATTTTCAGAAAGCGTTCGGATCTGTCATTTCTAGCAGTTCATAAACTTTGGCACTGCTCATTGTTCACAAAAAATCAGTACCTCGACTGGCTGGCAACACACCTTCGAACAGAAGATGTCTCGAGTTTGATTCATGTGAGGACGTTCGTTTTTGTGATTTTTTAAATCACACCTTTGCCAAATGCGTCAAGCAGGAGCTTTCGTTTTTCTCTCAGGGGTGCTGGGTTGGGTCAATTTTCCTCTTTGATTTTGTCTGAGTGGACAGTTTTTTTCCTGTTTTCCAAAGTATTATTTTTTCAATTCCCTTTTTATCCCTTCCTTTATGTTTCTATTTACTTTTTCCTTTCTCTATTTTATTTGTATCTTCTGTTTTTATTTATTTATCAATTTTTATATTTATTTTCTTACTTTTTTCGATGTATGATCTTTCTAGGAATTTGAAAAATGGTTTTATAACAAATACATGATATCTTTTATAAATATACTTTTATAAGTAAATATTTTTCGAACACATGTTTAATATTTTTAAAATATACCTTGTATATTTTAAAATTTACAACAAACAGTATTTCTAATAATATTGAACATTTGTCAGAAACACATTTAATATTTTCAAAATACAGGCCATATATTTTTAAATGCATTATAAATAGTTGTAATGAAAGCATTTTATAAATCTATGAACATTTCTAAAAAAAACTAGATTATTGTTAGTGCACGTTAAACATTTTTCAAATACATGAACATATCTTATAAATATGTGAACATCTTTAAATATGTGTTGATAATTTTAAAAAATACAATACATATTTTTTAAATAAACATTAAATTTTAAATATTAAAAATCCAAATATAACTTTAATAATATTTCAAAAAATAGTGAGAAAAATAATTGGAAAAAAAAGAAAAAAGAAGGAAAGAAACTTGCATGGTGTGTAGCAATGGCATGTATGTGAGCGCATGAGCGACACGAGGCCTAGAATTATCCACACTACCTAGCGTAAACCTCTTCAAAGTAAAATATAGCATGTTTGGCTGGTTAGGAGGGCCGTGGTACCCTCACCCCATCAGAGAGCTGAGGGTGAATTTTTTTTAGTGGGAGGCGACGTTTCCGTTGATAGTGATGTGCCCATGATGACTTTGCCAACCTTAAAGCTCTGCCACTCCGACCCGATCTTCAATAGGCGATGTGTGAGTGTTTGTGTTCTAGTTTGAGTGTGCATGTGTGCTAAGTTGTAATCAATGTTTCTTAAAAAAAATCTTCACCAAAGGAAAAATATCCACATAAAGTCGTATTTGTTTCATGGGTCTTACACGGCAACTTTAGGGATTGGTATAAATAAAAACTGATTTCAATTTAAAACACTCATGGCAACGACGAGCAATTTTCACAGTAGAATATCATATATCAGACAAAACACAGCTGTGACCTGTTATCCATGCTACCGGGTCAGCCAGATAGTAGTGTGGACTGGCTGTCTATTGCTACTGGGTAGTCCAGCCATGGTTCCACTTGCACTCAAAATCTTAAGCAGTGAGGTTGGTGGCTCCGGACTCCTGAGGATATCATCGCAATGTCACATGACATGTTAGCATTGACATGAGAACTGAACGCTAGCTGTCTAAGAACAAATATATCTGTCAAGTCCACAACCAGATACAGTTAGTCCAGTGAACAATGGCTGGCTTTATACGCTTCGTATGTCAGCGGAAGACTGAATCAATCAGTTGATAGCTGTAGCAGATTAGCAAATGATAAGGAGCTATGGTTCGTTTCATTCTACACGAACGACTCTCCCGAGTATTACTGGACAATGGTTTTAAACTCTGTTTTTGTCATTTCATTAACAAACCCTTCACTGGTAGAGCTCGATTAATTTCACATAAAAAATGTCATTTTTTTTCTAAAGCACCGAAGTAATTTCGTTCAGATATTTTTTTCTGCTGTCGAAACAGCAGGAAAACTTTGGGTAAAAATCCATTTTGGGGTGGCATGGTGGGAAAACATATTTTTGTGCACGCGCTTGCGAAGCTGTATTAGCAGAATATTATGCATGAAACTTGAAACTGCAATCACAATGACACTCCTATATTCGCAAAAAAAAAACAATGATACTCGTATGACATAGGGCGTTGATTGTTGGTATAGAGAACTGAGCTCTAGTATTACTCACATTCGTAGATCCCAAAATAAAGTTAGTGATTGGTTGGCTTCCTTCGCTAGAGAGGAAGGTAGAACTATGACCTGGGTAGGATTTGGTCCTCCCAGAGCTGTGGAGCTTGCTGTATCAGAGTGTAACATTGCTGGGGTTTGAGTATTACAAGTTTCGGTTCACAAAAAAAAAGAAAAAAAAAAGAGCTCAACCATCACCAAAAATAAAAACTGAGCTAATTTTCAGCTGCAGCAGGGCACTCTCGACGGTGCTCACATAACCTTATCTACCCCTAGAAAAAAACCTTATCTATTTTTGGCTTTTTGCCACAAAGGATAGGGATGGATAAGATGGTTCTATCTAATTTTGGAAGGGCCCTTCCTCACAAACAGTCTTTTCCTTTTTGAACTTCTCTTGCTCACAAATTCCACCGCTAAAACTCTAACGTACACCTACCGGCGAGTCGCACCGTTCGCGAGGCCCCGAGCCCATTCGTCCCGTGTGAGCGTGCGTTAACTAAGCCACATCAGGATACGATGCATGTTTGCATTGCCGGAAATAACATTTTCGTATTTGCTATTTCCAAGTATATACAGTGTATTTCCTCAAAAAAAGTATATACAGTGTATGCGGACATGGAGTTCCTAAGCTAAGCTCGAATGAACAGTAAATCGGAAAAAAATCTGAATTTTCAATGACAAGCATTGACAAAAGTTTTCAACGCTTGTAAAATTTCATCGTGAAATGACATTTGTAGAAGCCGTGGCCAAAAAGACAAAATCAATGCTCCAAAAATATCATTTCCAAAAGCATTTTGGAGTGATGATGTTTTTTTTTTTTTGCCACCGCTTCTACAAGTGTCGTTTCATGTTGAAATGCAAGCGTCAAAGACTTTTGTCACTTAAAAAATTCAGAATTTTTCTAATTTGTTTTTAATATATCTTTTGAGTTTACTGTTCATTCGGCCTCATTTGAGCTCGGGACAAGAAGAGTACTTTCGGTATTACTATTACCTCTGTTCCGCATTGAGGAAAATAACATTTCCATGAACAGAGGGTGTTGTACCTAAGAGTTACTCCATAATAATTCTTGACTGGTGATTATCATGAAGTACAAAAGTACGAGCAGCCGACTATTGACTGAGAAGTAACTAATGAGAATGTGCGTCTAGGATGGTGGTAAGGACCTCCTGGAGCGGGGCTATCATTCAAGGTTCGAATATTGGTTTTCATAAAAATAAAAATAAAAACATCGTTGCATATACTTGTGTTGTGCAAACCAGTGTGTTCGCTTGTGTACTTGCGTTGCGCAAGCCATTTCTCTCCCTTGGATCGAGTTTAGAAGTAACTAATCAGTTCCATAATATAGTATACTGTTTGTTGGATCGATAGACTGCCCGTAGTGAGTTATCTTGTTAAAAGAATGCAGTGTTCAATCCATGTAGTGTACTGTGCTGTGCTGACCTGGTTGGTGAAGCCGACGCCGAAGCCGAGCAGCATGCGCCCGATGATCAGCATGGCGATGTTCATAGCCGCGCCAGTGATGGCGCCGCCGGCGAAGAAGAGCGCCCCGCCCACGAGCATGACGCGCTGCCGCCCTATGGCCTTGGTGACGCGGCTAGCCACGAGCGACGCCAGCAGGCCGGCGATGTACAGCGACGACGTGAAGGCCGTGAGCGCCTGGCTGTCGTAGAGGCAGTAGTCGTTGTGCTTCGCCACCGCCATCTTCTCCAGGACGTGCGGGAAGAACCGCCGCAGGAACGGCTCCATTTGCGACACGCCGCCTGAAGTCAACGATCAAACCCCATCCGGCTGCCGTAGCTCAAGAAACATCGATCGAGGTCGAGGCCGGGGCCGAGGCTCACCTGATATGCCGATGTCATAGCCGAAGATGAGGCCACCGGAGGCGGCCACGAAGCAGGTCATGAGCACCGATAGCGTCAGGCGTCCGCCGTAGTCCGGGACGGGGCCATCGTTCACCACGAAGGCGCCACCGGCCATCTCTCTCTCAGCGCGCGCTTTCCTTTTAGGTCCTACCGATCCAACGACGACACAGCTCTCGTGAGATCGCCTGGATGTGTCAAGGGCGCAGAGCAGAGCAATATATGTAGACTTTGCGGATGCTGGTAGACAAACTCGAACGGCATCGTGCAGACAGGTAGCCAGCCAACAATGCCCGAAAGAAGAGGTTGGTCAGACAAAGTAAGCATGGCTGATTAGTAGGTGAACATGCTGAAGATGGCCCACTAATCAGCACGTTTCATTAGGCAAGACACATGTGTACATATGTGGAATGACGCAGTGCCAATTAATACCATCCATTATTCAAGCTGTCAAGAGGGGAAAAAAAGGTCCATCATCCAAGATAGAAGATCGCGATTTCATCAGCAAGTCAATGCAGAGAATATTAATCATTTGTGTTCAGCAAGTTGGAGCGAGAGCAAGAATAATGGCGCCTCTAACTCCTAATTAAATTCTAACTGAAGATACGAGCACATCATGTTTATATTCTATTTATCGCCACAGATACATCAAAGTTGTCTCTCAGCCAGACACCAGAACAGCTCATGTTCATGTTACGAACCAGATATGATCCTCTATTCGTTTTCCTATATTAAAATTTGGCGTAACTTCACACCATTTGACTTTTCCTTTTCGAGCACGGATGGGGGCGCAAAGTTTCTACGCTTTGGGTTGAGCTCTCCGAGATTAGAGCAACTCCAATAGCTCCCATAAACCTCAAATTACTGTCGGTTATGAAAACTTAAGCAAAAAATACTCTCCAACAGATTCTTTAAAGCCAAGTTTTTTACGAGACCCCGTAAAAGCACCGACTCCTTCCCGCAAGTATACTATTCCCTCTGTTCCTAAATATAAGTTTTTTTAGAGATTTTAATATGGACTAGATACGAAGCAAAATAAGTGAATCTTTTTATTTTGCAAGAAAACTTCCGATCTATTCATCAACTGCCAAGGCAATATAAAGCATACTAGAAGTAAAATTTACATTCAGGTTCGTAGACCACTTAGCGACGGCTACAAGCATAGGAGCGAATCAAAGGCGCGCCGCTGTCATCGCCCCTCCCTCGTCGGAGTCGAGCAAACATTTTTATATTAGACAGTCGGGAAGTCGTCGTGTTAAGACCCCATAGGATCAGCGCACCAGAACAGCAACCGCCGCCGATAAAAAGAAGCATAGATCAGAAGGATCCAACTTGCAGACGCACCGACATAGACGAATGAAGATCGAATCCAATCGGATCCACCGAAGACAAAGACGACCAGATCCTATAAGATCCGTCGGAGACAAACCTCCACACGCCTTCCGGCGATGCTTGAAACATCACCGGGACGGGGGCTAGGGCGGGAGGACCTTATTCCATCTACAAGAAGTCGATGCCGCCTTGTCTTCTTGAGCATGGCACAAACCCTAACAAAACTAAAAAAACACCTAAAAACAAAGCCCTCCAGCTGGCAAGGGCCAGGATCCACTGCGCCTCCATGGTCCAAGGACCATAGAATACGAGGCGGACCGACGGCGGCGCCGACGAGAGGCAAAGAAACCCTAGATAAGAGTTCATAGGAGGGCAGGACTGAAGGGGTGTCTTCGCTGCTCCGATCTTGACAAAAAATGAGTGAATCTACACTCTAAAATATATTTATATACATCCTTATATAGTTCCTGTTGAAATCTTTAAAAAGACTTATATTTAGGAACGGAGGGAATAAAAGATTGTCCTTCCCATAGATTTTTGACGGTTATAAAACCGCTTGGAACTTCACCGCTCTGTCCGCACCATAGCCGCTGCCACCTTCACGCCGTTGGGCCACCTCCGCCACGATGGGCCACCACGTCGGGCTGTCATTGCATCGCTGCCCCGTGCCGCCGCTGCACCCTCAGGCCGTCGTCGCCACACCGGACCACCACTTCGCCGTTGTTGCACCACCGCCCTGCACCGCACCATCTAGTTGTCGGGCCGTCGTCGCCACACCAGACCACCACCTCATGGCCGTTGCACCGCCACCCCCACCACAACACTGCCGTCATCGTCATGTGTCAATGACATGCGGGCCTTGGGCCATTAGCTAGGTTTATTTAACTGAAAAAACATATTTCACGGAAAGAGGTTTACAGGAACTGAGAAAAGTTATTGTCTACAACTTCCTGTAAATTATACGATCATCATGTGTTATCACTATTGCGGGAAGGTTTTTACGTAAGCTATTTTTTCCATACGATCCAGATTGGATTGGATACCAACAGACGGACAAAAGAGCAAAAAAGAAAAGCGTCCTTGGCGCAAACATAAAGGGGGAAAACAAACACAACACAAAAACTAAGAGCATCTCCAGCTGCGCCCCCAACAGGCCCCCCAAGGCCACTTTTTCGGCGCCGGCGCTAAAAAAACGGACAAGTCGCGCCCCCAGGACGACGAAAAGCGCCGGTTCGGCCCTTTTTTTCGCTCGGCGGCCGCAGGCTGAACCCGGCGCGCTGGGGGTCGCTTGGTGGCTCCGGCGCAAAGGAAAAGCGCGGCTGGCCCACGCCGTCAGGTGAAAAGTCAAGATTTTCTTCCCCGACTCACCTCCCACCCCCCGCGCTCTCGGCCGCCACTTGTGAAGACCATCCGAGATGCCTCCCACCCCCCGACTCGCCTTCACAAATATCCGCTCTCGACTTTTTGATGGCATCTATCCGAGATGGTCGACATTTGTGAAGACCATCAAAAACCCTGTGCCTGGAGGCAAGAACGCCTGGTTTGCGAAGATTCAGGAGGCTTACAGGAAGGATGTCGAGCGGGCATTTGGTGTGCTCCAATCTCGATTTGCTGTTGTCCGGTACCCCGCTCAGACCTGGTCGAAATATCAAATGTGGGAGATCATGACCTGCTGTGTCATCTTGCACAACATGATCATTGAGAGCGAGCAGGAAGAGCCAGTGTTTGACACTGAACCATACCACAGGCAGGGTCCTCTTGCCCAAGTTGATCACCAGCTACCGGCAACCTGGACTGCATACCTCAATATGCGTCAGAAGATCCGAGACCCACAGGTGCATCATCAACTGCAGCAAGATCTGATAGAGCACCTATGGAGGCTCAAGGGCGACACCGGGCGCGACGTGTGATGAAATATGAGTTTTTATTTGTTGAACTATATAATTTGTATTGAATTATTTGTTGTTTTACTATTTTGTTGAAGTATTTGAATTTTATGTGATGAAATATGTGATAAAAAATATATTTATGTTGATAATTGAACGCCGAGCCACGGCGAACCACGCTGAATATGAGCCTATTTTCGTCCATATGGGCCTTTTTCGCCGAAATGGGGCTTAAAAAATGGACCAAAATCGGCGACTGAGGACGAGTTGTGGGCGACGACTGGGCGCTTAACTGCCCCAGCGCCGAACGAATCGCCGGCTCACCCCCAGAGAGCGATTTTTATGCGTCCTGGGAGGCCAGCGAGTGGAGATGCTCTAAGCACCCCTCAGGTTCCAAAAGGACCAAACCGCCGCATGCACGGTTAGCAAGAGGATGCAGCTGAAAACGCCCACAACCCAACAGGGACAGCCATGGGGAGGAACCCCACGCATTACTGTTCAACGCCTTCATACATGGCGGCAAAAAGGCACACGTAGCCGTAGGTGCTCAAATTTACGCCATGCATTACTGTTCAAGCATTGTTCTCCTCTTCAGCATCCTCCGCCATTGCATCATCCACATTCCTAGCAGCATCCTGTTATCCTCCACCATCTTCCAGCCGGAGGGCATCCATACCTCGTGCCATGACAGACTCGGCAGGCGTCTCCAGAGCCATTCTTTGTAGCAGATTCGCCCCTTGTTTCAGCATCTCTCGGTGAGCATCATTTTGAAGACTTGCCCCATAACACAAAAAAGAGCAGGCGTAACAAACAAAGTCAGCAGGTGATCACTAGTTTGTTCTCCAAACATGCTCTGTTCCTGAGCTTCCAGATGGCCAACACAAAGCAGCAACACCCACAATTTGCACATTTCTACTGTGTGGGATAAAGCTAGGGACCCACCAGAAATACTGAGTAAAGCATGTGAGCCTAGAAACAACACCCAGACATTTGCACACAACACACCAAAAATATTTAGCTGCAGAGCAGCTAAAGAACAGGTGGTCGATGCTTCCGTTTTCATGACAGAATTCAGTTCCTTATCATATTGTCTTTTATGCCAAATTAACCACAGCCAGATTTTGATTTTCAAAGGGATCTTAGCTTTCCATACATGTTTCAAAGGTCTGTCAAGATGCATTTTATACAGGTGGCTGTAAACAGATCTGAGAGGGAGCTTATTTTTATTATTCCATGTCCAAACTATTACGGGAAGGTTTTTACACGAGCTATTGGAGTCGCTCCTATATCATCGACAGTTTCGCTTGACAAAAAATGGCAGTTCACCTGTCGTTTACTGAAAAAATAGACAAGCATACAGATGCAGTCGGGGCTCGAATACCTCCACACTCTAAGCTAGCCGTCCTGAACAAACCGCTTCCTCGCCATTGGAGGCTGGACCTCCACCAAAACAGCCCCAAGGCTCGAGCGGGGGGCAGTGCGACAAGGACGGTCACAAACACAATAGTGAGGAACGACAGGAAGGCTGAGATTCCATGCAGCAAGACAATCATGGGCTCACAGCTCATGACCAAATGGAAACACACAGGATTTAACATACTTCCCTATCGAGGCATCTACTGCATTTATACACACAAACAGGGTTCATGCGCATAATGATCAGTCAATTCCAAAGCGTCGCCTAATACGGCAGCAGCAGCACGGTATCTTTCAGCCTTTTACAAAGAGAAATCCAAAAAGGTATCAGGACGTTGGCGGTAATTTTCTCTGTTGAAATTCTCTATTCCATAGTTGAAGAGGTCGGTTTTATTTACACAAGCACACCTGCGTGCAAGATAATCACTCGCAGTGTTCATCGTAGAAATGTTCCAGACACACCAACACAGCGTTGTTAACAGTC